ATATCTTAAGATTTTATTTATTTGAGAGAGAGAGAGAGCATGAACAGGGGGAGGAGCATAGGGAGAAGCAGACTTCCTGTTGAGCAGGGAGCCCGACATGGGGACTCAATCCCAGGACTCCGGGATCATGACCCGAGCCGAAGGCAGATGTTTAACCAACTGAGCCACCCAGGTGTCCCTGAGGTTTTCTTTTAGCCTAATTTTTCCCCACCCATTTAAAGCATTTTTAATTTTTACAATTAGGTATTAATGTTCACATGACTCAATCATCAAAAGGCATTTTTTTTTTGAGAGAGAGCATGAGCAGGAGGAGGCAGGGGGAGAGAGAGAGAGAATCTTAAGCAGGGTCCATGCTCAGCACGGAGCCCAGCACGGGACTTGATCTCACGACCCTAAAATCATGACCTGAGCCAAAATCGAGAGTCGGACACTTTATGGACTAGCCACCCAGGCGCTCCAAAAAGCATTTTTTTTTAAAGTGAGGGAATTGGTTAAGCATCTGCCTTCGGCTCAGATTATGATCTCAGGGTCCTGGGATCGATCCCCGAGTCGGGCTCCCTGCTCAGCCGGGAGCCTGCTTCTCCCTCTCCCTCTCCCTCTCCATGCTACTCCACCTGCTTGTGCTCTCTGTCTCTCTCTCTCTGTCAAATAAATAAATAAAATCTTTAAAAAATAATAAAATAAAAAAGGGGTGGAGTGTCCCAAACCCATGCCTACATTCCCAGCCCACCTGCCCCTCCAGATAAGCACAGTACTTAGCTCTCGTATATCCTTCCAGTTCTTTACACATGTACAGCTTAGCGTAAATGTGGATTTACGTTTCTCTCCCATTTCTGTCTGCCCAGAAGGCAGCACATTATATGCTTGCTTTGGCAGCATGTGGAGAGTTTCCTTGATCCCTTGTTAGAGTTGTGAAGTATTCCTCCATGGGGACGGACTGTCATTCCTCTCCTCTGTAAATGCTGGGTAGATGCACACGAGCCCAGTCCAGCTTTGTCCCTCCCCGCACAGCTGTAGTAAACAACTTGTCGACCTGTCATTTCCCACACATGCACGTGCATCTGTCAGGTCATTTCCCGGAAGCCTGTTTTCTGGATCAAAGCGAATGTGTACTTATAATTTGCACAGCTGCTGCTGGATTGCATTGTCCTGGAGTTTTAGCAGATTGTGCCAGTAACCCTCAGAGGCCGTAGAAGAGAGTGTTTTTATGAGATATGGCTTGTTCCTAATGCGATGAGTGAAAAAGGTTCCACAGGGTGCTTTCGATGGGCATTACTCTTAGCACAAATGAGGTGGAGCCTCTCTTGAACTATATAAGCCTTTGTGTTTCCTTCTCTGTGCACTGTCTGATCATATACTTGGCCCCTTTTTCTCACCGGTTGTTATTCTTAGTGATTTCTGGAGGCTGTTTATATTTGATGGAAATGAGCTTTGACTGCACTGTGAATTGCAGCTGTTTCCCCCAGTGTATCATTTGGGTTTTTTTGGACGTGATTAGGGGAGGGGGGGGTGTGTGTTTGTCTGTATTTTTAATGAGTACAAGATTGACTTTTTCAATTTTTCTTTTTTAAACGCTTAAAAAGAATTTAGATAGCAACGTTACAGGAATAGTACAGAGAACTCATGGGAGTTCTTTACTCTTTACCCGCATATATTAGTTATCTGTTGCCGTTAACAAATGACGCCCCCCAGACTTAGCAGCTTTAAACCACGAGCATTCACTTCTCACACGTAGCTTGTAAGGATCAGGAGTCCGGAAGCACTGTGGCTGGAAGGTTCTACCTCGTAACCTCTCAGGAGGTTATAGTCAGCCAGGGCTGCGGTCATCGGAAGGCTCGACTGGACTGGAGAATATGCCTCAGCCCCTCCCTACACAGGCTTCTCCAAAGGCAGCTTATAACATGCTCCAAAGGTGGCTTCCCGCAGAGGAAATGATCCACCAGAAAGGAGAGTCCCGGGATGGAAGGCGCAGCCCTTTCTGTAACTGAATCTTGGAAGTAGCGTCGGATCACTTCCGCCAAATCTGTTGGTCCCAGAGACTAACCCCGGGCACCATGTGGGAGAAGACCGAATAGTGAGGAGGTGGGGATTGGCGGGGGGACCAGGGGACGGGGGGAGGGCGCCTTGGAAGCTGGCTACTGCCCAGATTTTCCCACCGTAAACGTCTGGCTACATTCGCTTTATTCTCCGTTCTCTTGATATGTATACATTTTTCTTCGGAATTGTTGGAGAGTAAATTGCAGACGTTCTGCTTCTTTACTCCTTAACGTCTCAGCCTTTGAGAACAAGGACATTCTCCTACTTGACCACGGTGGAGGCATCAGATTCAACCCATTTAGCGCTGAGACAGTACTGTTACCCACTGTCCATAACCTAGTGTCGCTGGTCGTCCTGCCATCATGTCATGCGTTACTCTCCTGATTACACTTAGCTTTCGGGCGCCTTTCTTTCTCCGCACCAGCCCTGCGCACACACCTCCCAGGGCTTCATGAGGTGGCCAGCTGTCTTCCCTACCCTTACCAAAACCTGTTGTTTTCCTCTGTTCTCTATTCTAAATGCTCCCACAGTGGGGGAGCCCTGTGAGCCAGTGCCTGAATGGTTCCTCACTGATTGCTCAAGGGCGGATTGCCAGGTCAAAGGGCGTGCGACCCTTTCGAAGTCTGCAGACCAGAGTGCTGTCCGGGTGACACCCTCAGAGCCGCTTCCGAGAGCCAAGGGCCTCGCCGATCTCTTCCTAGAGGTGGCTAGCCTTTGGGGATGTGTGTGGATGGATTGGTGCGGGGGGCTTTGTTTTGAATTGCCAGAAGTTATTCAGGGTCAGCCTCGGACGGGGTGTTGGAGAAGGGTCCAGGGCGTTGGATGCTTCAAGCAAGTCGTACCCTCGAAATCACGAGTCGGTCCACTTTGGGGGCTCACGGT